CAAACAGCTGTAACTCTTCAAAACTTCAAAAATATTCGCTGCACTACAGATTTTCGGTTAATAAATTCATACATTCCAATAAAAATAAATAAACTATATATATATATATATATATATATATATATATATATATATATATATATATATATATATATATATATATATATATATATATATACATATATATATATATATGTATATATATATATACACACACCATAATGTAGATGTTAGAGGGATACTGATCCAGATGTTAGACGGATGCTGTTCCAGATGTTAGAGGGATGCTGTTCCAGATGTTAGAGGGATGCTGTTCCAGATGGATGCTGTTCCAGATGTTAGAGGGATGCTGTTCCAGATGTTAGAGGGATGCTGTTCCAGATGGATGCTTTTCCAGATGTTAGAGGGATGCTGTTCCAGATGTTAGAGGGATTCTGTTCCAGATGGATGCTGATCCAGATGTTAGAGGGATTCTGTTCCAGATGGATGTTGATCCAGATGTTAGAGGGATGCTGTTCCAGATGTTAGAGGGATGCTGTTCCAGAGGGGTGCTGTTCCAGATGTTAGAGGGATGCTGTTCCAGATGTTAGAGGGATTCTGTTCCAGATGGATGCTGATCCAGATGTTAGAGGGATTCTGTTCCAGATGGATGTTGATCCAGATGTTAGAGGGATGCTGTTCCAGATGTTAGAGGGATTCTGTTCCAGATGTATGCTGATCCAGATGTTAGAGGGATGCTGATCCAGATGTTAGAGGGATGATGTTCCAGATGGATGCTGATCCAGATGTTAGAGGGATGCTGTTCCAGATGTTAGAGGGATGCTTTTCCAGATGGATGCTGATCCAGATGTTAGAGGGATGCTGATCCAGATGTTAGAGAGATGCTGTTCCAGATGTTAGACGAATGCTGTTCCAGATGTTAGAGGGATGCTGATCCAGATGTTAGACGGATGCTGTTCCAGATGTTAGAGGGATGCTGATCCAGATGTTAGACGGATGCTGTTCCAGATGTTAGACGGATGCCGTTCCAGATGTTAGAGGGATGCTGATCCAGATGTTAGACAGATGCTGTTCCAGATGTTAAAGGGATGCTGTTCCAGATGGATGCTGATCCAGATGTTAGAGGGATGCTGTTCCAGATGGATGCTGTTCCAGATGTTAGAGGGATGCTGTTCCAGATATTAGAGGGATGCTGTTCCAGATGGATGCTGTTCCAGATGTTAGAGGGATGCTGTTCCAGAGGGATGCTGTTCCAGATGTTAGAGGGATGCTGTTCCAGATGTTAGAGGGATTCTGTTCCAGATGGATGCTGATCCAGATGTTAGAGGGATGCTGTTCCAGATGTTAGAGGGATTCTGTTCCAGATGGATGCTGATCCAGATGTTAGAGGGATGCTGATCCAGATGTAAGAGGGATGCTGTTCCAGATGGATGCTAATCCAGATGTTAGAGGGATGCTGTTCCAGATGTTAGAGGGATGCTGATCCAGATGTAAGAGGGATGCTGTTCCAGATGGATGCTGATCCAGATGTTAGAGGGATGCTGTTCCAGATGGATGCTGATCCAGATGTTAGAGGGATGCTGATCCAGATGTTAGAGGGATGCTGATCCAGATGTTAGAGAGATGCTGTTCCAGATGTTAGACGAATGCTGTTCCAGATGTTAGAGGGATGCTGTTCCAGATGTTAGAGGGATGCTGATCCAGATGTTAGAGGGATGCTGATCCAGATGTTAGACAGATGCTGTTCCAGATATTAGAGGGATGCTGATCCAGATGTTAGAGGGATGCTGTTCCAGATGTTAGAGGAATGCTGTTCCAGATGTTAGAGGGATGCTGATCCAGATGTTAGAGGGATGCTGTTCCAGATGTTAGAGGGATGCTGTTCCAGATGTTAGAGGGATGCTGATCCAGATGTTAGAGGGATTGCTGTTCCAGGTGTTAGAGGGATGCTGATCCAGATGTTAGAGGGATGCTGATCCAGATGTTAGAGGGATGCTGTTCCAGATGTTAGAGGGATGCTGTTCCAGATGTTAGAGGGATGCTGATCCAGATGTTAGAGGGATTGCTGATCCAGATGTTAGAGGGATGCTGTTCCAGATGATAGAGGGATGCTGATCTAGATGTTAGATGGATTGCTGTTCCAGATGTTAGAGGGATGCTCTTCCATGTGTTAGAGGGATGCTGTTCCAGGTGTTAGAGGGATGCTGTTCCAGGTGTTAGAGGGATGCTGTTCCAGGTGTTAGAGGGATGCCGTTCCAGATGTTCCAGCTACTGACTGAAAGAACAATCTGACAAAAGGTGGTCTGCCTGAAGGGCACGTCACAGTCTCCTCCATTCGTAGACCGAGTGGCTTTACCAGAAGAGGATTCCAGTTTCATTAATTCCCTTAATGGCGGTGGTGCCAGTTCACTGAGTGCTTTATAAAAAATGCAAACAAATTTAAGGTATTTAAAATTCTCCAAGTTGAGGAGATTATAAGTCTCAAGAATATAACAATGGTGGTACAAAACAGGTTTTTAGCAAAAATGATTAAAGCTTTTTTTATGTAATGATTCTATTTGTTTAAATGTGGTTTGATTTGTAAGAGAACAGGTTGTAAAAACAATATTGGATGTGAGAGAAAACCACAGCATGCAGAAACATCCTAGCTGCCTGAAACGTCATTATTGAACAATTACATCTGAAGTTATGAAGCATTAATTTAATTGTTTTACAGATTTTCTTCGTATTTAAGGTTTAAGGAGTATCTTTTTCAGACAGGGGACAAAATATTTAACCTTAACGCTATTTTGTTTTACTAATTATATGCAAATAAAAATATTACTGACCAAGCCAACCATATAAACAGAAGATTTATTCGGTTTCCAAGTGATGGTATAACTAGGTGTAAAATATTTTCTTGTCCAATTGCGTCTCCTAATGCAAGAACTGTGGCAGGGGTGTCAAACTGGTTCCAGAAAGGGCCGTGTGGCTGCACGTCTTCTTTCCAACCAAGCAATAGCACACCAGACTCCATTCATTTCATCAAGTCATCATGTTCAGATTGGACTCACTTGATGAGATTACAGGAGTCTGGTGTGCTATTGCTTGGTTGGAAAGAAGACGTGCAGCCACACGGCCCTTTCTGGAAACAGTTTGACACCTGTGAACTATGGCATTTCTTAAGAGAAGTCCATAATGTTATATCAAATTATATAATTTCATATTATTTCTAAATAAATTCTGAATATGTCAGAATTCTGAGGGAAAAAAACCCCTGAATTCTAAGATTAAAGTCAGAATTCTGAATTTTTCTCATATCATACTGAAGTAAAAATCTGTTACTTTATTTTACACTTTTTAGTGGCCCTTATTCTCTTCCGTATAATAACACTACTGGCTTGAAATGTTGATTTTCAGAGTATTTCACTGAGTGCCCTATAAAGGATTAACTGCAGCCGTGAGTCTGCGTGTTGGAAGCGGCGAGGCGTTTGGTGCATGGCGCGTGTTTTGAAGCTGCTCTGCTTGTGGAGAAATGTCCTGGGCCGTGAGTAGTGAGGAAACAGGAAGCGATTCTTGTGGGATGGAAGAGGGAAATAGTGACAATGAAGGTTGGAAGATAGCAGCATCAAAAAATGAGAAAAAGCGGAAAAAACAGAGATCAGTTAAAGGGGAATCTAGTTCAGAACAATCCAGTGATGATCAATCCATACATTCCACAGCACAACAAAATGAATTCAAAGTCATATTCAAAGTCGTTAATCAGGCAGACTCTTTTACAAACTGGAATCCGGTTCACTTAACAAAAACCATCAATAAACTTGTTGGAGAAGTCAGAGGTGCCAGAATTCTGTACAGTGGAGACCTGCTAATTAACTGCAGAGACAGCGCCCAGCAAGGCAAAGCAATACGTATTAACAAAATTGACGGGATAAGAGTTCAGTGCAGCCTAATGGAGAACAAAAAGATCAGCAGGGGAGTCATTGGAGGAGTTCCTCTGAAAATTTCTGAAAAAGAGATTCTGGAAAACATAAGCGGTGCAAAAGTAAAAGAAGTAAAACGGTTAAAAACAACAAGAAACGGAGAAAGATCTGACAGTTTATCTGTACTAATTAAATTCGAGGAAGAGCAATTACCAAGCAAAGTATTCATCGGTTACATCAGTTACAATGTCAAAATCTACAATCCACCACCATTGAGATGTTTCAAATGTCAAAAATTCGGACACATTGCAGCAGTTTGTAAAGGGAAACAGAGGTGTGGAAGGTGTGCAGGAGAACATGAATATGGTAAATGTGGAAAAGAAGCTAAAATAAAATGCTGTAATTGTGGTGGAGAACATACTGCTGCTTATCGCGGCTGTGAAGCAAGCAAAAGGTCTGAAGAAATAAAAAAAATGAAATTTGAGCTTGGAATAACTTATGCTGAAGCTGCAAAAAGGATCCCATCTCAGTCAGAAAAACCCAAACCTACAGTTCAACACACGGCAAATTTCAAACCTCTAGAGAAATCTCCAAAAATTGATGAAGACTCACTAATTGTTAAAAAGACAAATTTTGTTCTTTTCATGGTGGAAGTGATTAATTGTACTGCTCAGACGACAAAAAAAACAGAAAAAATCAAAATAATAGTGAAGGCTGCAGAAAAATATCTGGATGTTAAAGATATGAACTGGGAGATGGTTGGAAGCATGATGGAAAGACCAATGGGACCATCAGAAACTGGCAGAGGTACGATGACCTAGAGTAAATTAAAATTATACGGGCAAATGTAATTTAGTATAATTTAGTATTATGTGGGTTTAAGTTACACAGGTTATTTTATTGTATTTTTTTTTTTTTTTTTTTTTTTTTTTTTGGGGGGGGTGAATCGTTTCCTGTTTCCTTGCTTTACTCCATATCAGTTGGTGGCGGTAATGCACATTTCACAAGTTTGCCAACCGCCATAAAATCTCATAAGAAGAAGAAGAAGAGTCTGCGTGTTTGACCTCCTGCCTCTGGGGGCGCTGTCCAGCTTTATCAGTAATCCAGACAGGCGGAAGTAAAGGCGCCATTACAGCGGACTCGCAACGTGAGCGGGACGTACAGGTTCAGTGAAGCAATACGGTGCTGTTTAAATAGTTTTCTTCTCTTCGGGTGGCTGACGGTGAAATGGCGTACAGAGGACAAGGACAGAAGGTCCAGAAGGTTATGGTCCAGCCCATTGTATCCTTTACAAAGAGCAGCCCTGTGCTAATGAATGAGCGGCTAACATTTAGCAGCTAGGCTAATCTTTAGTAGCTAGGCTAATCTTTAGCCACCTCTTTGTGAGCTACTGATGTGTTTGTCTGTGTTTTTCTTAAGGGAAACATGAACATTGTTAGTTGTTAGCTGTATGTCCGCCTGTTTGTCGCATAGCGGCTGTAGGGAACCGCCTCACAGAGCTGCTGTTGCTAGCAGCTATGGCGGCATCTCATCCAATCATCCATTCACAGGAATGGAGTCTGCTTTACTAACATTTATAATTAACTCCGAACCAAACGCAGTTATTCATAAAAGATTGTACATTTTTGATTTGTTTTTTTAGGGTTTTATATATGTCTGTTGTGTTTATAATATGGGTAAAATAATTGATTATTGGCCCTTAATGATTGAGAGTTTATGAAAGACTCCAAACTGGAACTGGATTTTTTTCATTTTGGGTTTTGTGCAGCACCGTAATATGAAGGAGTATTAGGGCCAGGCTAGAGATAATTTTTCTATTTTCTAGAAAAAAAAGTCCAATTATGAGAAAAGTCGTAAAATCAGGGAACATTGAGCTATGTCATGGATACAGCTAGAGATCAATGATGCAGGTTTTTAAAGGCTGACCCCGATTAGTTCCTCATCATGTGCTGCTGCACAGTTATTTATTTTGGGGAATGGGGAGATCTTTATTGTTTCTCCTCCTCCCTTTAGATAATAAAATCACAAAACATGATATTTTCAAAATAAAGTCATAAAATTACAAGGAACAAGTTGTGTTTTATAACAACTCTAAAAAGAAGCCCTGTCTTCCCTAAAATGAGGAATGTGGAGCATCATGTGAAGTTCTACTTTAGCATCGGTTTGATAAATCAGGAAATGTTTTAGCAGCAGCATCACACTGGGCAGGATGTCAAAGTGTACTCTGGTTGCTGATTGGTGGAGCTGGTCGACCGTCATCTGCTGGGCGGAGCTCCAAGCTTTCTTTCTGAAACTGGTTGTTCTATGATGACTTTTATCTCTTAATGTTCTGCGTTTATTCTCGTAATTTTACGACTTTATTCCTGAAGTAAAAATGGGGGGAAAAAAATCTCTAGCCTGACCCTAATACTCTGTCATACAATAAGTTCTGGAACTAACTGAAGAAGGTTTTTTAAACCTAAGTGGCCATTGGGCAAAAAAAGAAATACAAAATGTTTCCATTTTCTCATCCAAACTGTAAAACTTGCTCCTTGATCACCAGATTTTTCTGCTTGTAAATCAGATTATTTTGTATAATCCAAGCTAATCCATTCGGTGGTGTTCCAGAGTAAGCTGCTGTTAAATAAGGAAAATACTGCAGGATGAAAAACTACTACTCTGACCAACTGAACTATTGTCACTTATATTCAGTGGGACATTAAGTTGAAAAAAAAATCTTTCCATAAATATTGCTAATTTAAATCCTGTGTCTGGTTGATTCTAAATGACACATCTGGTTCTATGAGTCGCTGGAAAAGATGCTGTGATTGTCGTCGTTTCAGTATTTGTTTACCTTAACTTGGTGTTTCAGAACCTTATTTTCAGATACCTTCAGAATGTAAGTAGTCGTCATTTATTCTACTAATCGGCGGTAAAGTCTGGATCAGACGTGTCTCATTCCGTTTTCCTTCCTGTTCCCAGCGCTCCAGAATCCAGGTGTGGCTGTATGAGCAGGTCAACATGCGGATAGAGGGATGTATTATTGTAAGTTACAGAATTTTTCTCTAAAAATATTTGCCCTGAAAAAAATATCTTCATATTTTTAACCAATAATTCTCAACCAATCAACGTAAACCAAATGTGGAAAAAGGAACTAATTATTGAGTCATGTTACATCATTAAATGTCCAGTGATCTTAGAAGGCAGTCGCTCTGTTTTAAGGCAGGATTTAGTTGCAGCTGCTTGTGAGGCAGGCTGTGATATAAAAGTGGAAAAATACAAATCACCAAGTTAACTGGGTTTAAGATGTATGATGCCGCACTGAATTGTTTTGCTTTAAATCTCTTTTTTTGGGACCTTCTCCTCTTTTATTGTTTCAGGGCTTTGATGAGTACATGAACCTGGTTCTAGACGACGCTGAAGAAATCCACATGAAAACCAAGAACAGGAAGCCGCTCGGTAAGAAGGGCTCATTTTAGGGATGCACGATATTGGGATTTTGGCCGATATGCCGATATTTTAAAACTCATGTAGCCGATAACCGATATCGATACCGATGTTAAAGCTGGACAAAAATAAGTAGTCATTGAAAATAGCAGTTTTGTTATCCATTTCTGACACTTTGAAAAATAATATACTCAAAAATATTTTCATATGCTGATATCACATAGATTTTTAAAAACGCTGTATCGATCTATTTTACTTTCAAAATCTCGTGATATTTTGCAAATTCTTGTGAGATTTTGTTAGTAAAATAGATCGATACCGCGTCAATATATCAACATATAAAAATATGGCAACATTTCGTGAATTTTGGGGGGATTTCGTAGCATAACGATGACATATAGCAATATTTCATTAGTAAAAGAGATTGATATGGTGTTTTTAAATGGCAATATATCAGCATATGAAGATATTGTGATATTTTAATGGATCAATATTTTTTCCCTCGTCTTTAGAAGTTTTTAAGTCTGTAAAAAGAAGTTTTTGAGGAAGTAGTAGTATTTTTTTTTTTTAGACTTTAGAAACTCAGAAGCTGATCAAATATCGGGTTAAATATCGGTGGGGTGGCCGATGTCCGATATTCAGTTTTAAGGCCGATACCGATAGGGGGCCGATTATATCGTGCATCCCTAGTTTCCATTTAATTAAACTCTTTTTGCTGGGAACACTGAGATTTGATGTGGGTACCGATAGACATCAATGACGCAGGTTTTTAAAGGCCGACCATGATTACAGGGTTTCCATGGGTCATTAAAAATCATAAAAATATTATTTTTTAAATTAAGGCCTTAAATTGCTTTAAAATCATTAAATCTGATTATAGTGGCTTTATATATGTATTAGGGGTGGAACGGTTCACAAAATCCACGGTTCGGTTCGATTCACGGTTTCTGGTCACGGTTTTCGGTTCGATTCGATACATGTTGATTGTTACACCGAAATTCCATAAAAAATTATGAAATTAATGAAAAAATCCCCCCAAAAATAATGGATTTTAATTATTTTTAATGATCCGCGGAAACCCTGGATAATTTCCCTATGTTTTGCTGCTTTGAATTTAATCATCTGGCGCATGCTCTCTAACCTGACAACAGCCAGATGCATGTCTCGCTCCGCCACATGCATCTGGCTGTTGTCAGGTTACATGCTCTCTACCATCTCCAAGGAACTCAGAGGGGAGCAGACGAAGCCACAGTGGGGGCTGTAGGCTTTGCTTTGAGCAGCCGGTCTGGAGCACAGCGGGGGTTGCTGACGGAGTATGAGGGATTTCGGGGTTAGCATGAAATGTTGCTGTTAGCATAAACCAAACTAGGGCTGCAACAACGAATCGATAAAATCGATAAAAATCGACTTTTAAAAGCGTTGGCAACGAATTTAATCATCGATTAGTTGTGTCGCGCGATTAATGCGTCATCCGCCGCCGCGGTCATCCGGGGGAAGAAAAAAAAATATGGCGGAGTGAGTCAGCGCCGCAGTTGCAGTGTTGCCAACTCAGCGACTTTTCAGACCCCTCCAGCGACTATTTTTCAAAAAAGCGACTAGCGACAAATCTGGCGACTTTTTACGGTGTCACTGGCGGCTTTTGCCTGCCGTGGGGCGCCTCCCCCATCCCAACGCCTTTCTCCCTCTCCCACAGGAATCCCTCTCAGCGCGGCAGTCAGAGCCGCAGGATTTTAGTGAGGAGTTTACCCTCAGCGTCCAGACTGCAAATGAAGCGCGCATGCGCCGGGATTGACGGCGCAAATTGATCACAATAATTAAAATAGCCTGCGCTTTGTAAAGTGAAAAAAGTGATAACATGCAACTTTTGTAAAAACAAATGAACATGGCACGGAAGCACCACTGTTATGACGCAGCACCTGAAAAGAAAACACTTTGGAGCCTTCGATGGCAGTGAAGAGAGCTGATCAGCAGGATGAGCGACCATGTTTGTTTGGTTTTAAAGTGGGGAAACGTTACGTTAGTTTCTCAGGAAGCTCATCTGATGCTTTCCTTACCGTGTTAGTAGGTTACAGACAGTGATAAGGTTGGCTACTTATTTTACTTTTAATTTCATTTACATTTGTTTAAGCAGCGTTTACATTTACTTTATAAATAAATTAACTTGCAAATTATGAGGGCAAGGCTTTTAAAGTTTAAATCTTCTGGCAAAGATAAAGTAAAGATCCTGCAATTTATGGAAGTAAAGCAGAATAAAATCCAGCAAGATCAGTAATATGTCAATTAATTATCTGCCACATTCCCATGTAAATATCTGTCTTTGGAGGATGTGTTTTTTTACCACCCCTAGTTCTCTCATTTTTATTCCAAATACAATTTATAATTTGAATCACAGGCTATTTTTATCTCTATGGTTCAGTATTTTCTCAAGCAGCAACTTTAACTGCTGTACTTTCCTGTCTTAAAAGGCAGAACTCTTCTAGTCTAAAAAAAACTCATTTCTTGAAATGGGGGGACCTATTGTTGAACCCCTTAGGGGCTTTAAAAAACAAAAATGTCTTTTTTTGCGCTTTATGAAACAAAGTACCCTATATTTTGTGGATGTACAGCTACATTTCTCATGTAAGTTTGCGTAGTTTTAACACAAACATTTATTTTTCATATTGCACCAGGACAGGTAATGAGCAACCTGTACTTGTGTGCTTGTTTGTTCTGTCTAAAATGTTTATTTTGGAATAAAGAGGTTAATATAAAAAATTTTTTTTGTCCGATTCATCGATTAATCGAAAAAATAATCGGCCGATTCATCGATTTTTAAAATAATCGTTAGTTGCAGCCCTAAACCAAACGTGTTGCACAATGCTTGCACACTGTTGCACTTTTATCCACAACTTTCTTTCCGCCGTCATCGTAGGTCACTCTAAATGCAAAGTGGTCCCATACAGCAGACCTATAAAGTGCTGCTGGCGCGTCTTCCAACTCCTGTTCTTTCCCACTCGCCATACCCACACAATTCTCCACAACAACTGATTTTTTTCTGCTACACCCGGCTACGCTGCTTCGCTTCTTCTTCTTCTTGTTTACTACTGGTGGTTGGCTTTGGTCGCAGTACCGCCGCCTTCTGCTCTGGAGTGTAAACGCTTCGCCTATGAGAAAAAGGAGCAGCGCATGCACCGAATGAAACACACGCGAACCGAACCGAGACAATCGAACCGAACAGTTCAGTTTTCATAAATCGTCCCATCCCTAATATATATATATCCACACCTCCCTCCTGCCATCCTCCGGCAGTGACGGTGCAGTAAGCCTATCGCCATTTTCCCCTCTTTACAAGCAAAATAACTTTTAATTAAAAACACTGATCATTTATTGAACAGTATGTAATAATTTTATATTTAAAGAACTTTCAGAAGTTTGAATTCTGAATATGAGCGAACTTTTTCCTTTAATGTATGTTACCAGGATTTTGTGCCAAAGACCCACATGAAGTTGCATATGATTGTAAAGTGAAAGGACATAATTTTTCTAAATAATAATAATTATTAATATTTTTTAAATCTGTAGATGTGTGTTTTAAGCCTTCAGTACTTTGTAGAAGTAAATGTTACTCCTAGAGTTCAGACCAGCCGATAGTTTTTTCTTTGTTTTGGTTCAGTTCATTAGTGCATTCAGTAATTTTGAGATGGTGTGAAAGACGTGCCTTTCTGCTTTCTCCATTTACTATCCATTGTTAGGATTTGTTTGCTTTTTCAATAAACATACTTTATTTGTATAAACTTAGATCTGTGTAACATTTGTTATTGAGTTGTTTTTTTCAATGTAAATGGAGGAAGAAAAAAAGAAACATAAGCTCTAAGAATCAGTCCAGATATCGACAACACGCGTCGCTGATTGGTTAAGTTGGGTCGACACTGTACAATATTTTCAATGGTTGCACGCAGCTACAGCTCACACTGTACAACGAAACCTAAGAGTTTAAAAGTTCCCAGCTCACCATGTTTGTTCTCATCCTGTGTGACTGGTGGGGAGGCGGTCGCCCCTCGTTGAAAAGCGGGCAGTAAAGGGTTAAAAAATCGACCTATTCCATTGGTATCTGCATCTGCCTAAAAACCTGAATCAGTCTTTCTAGTTACTGCCGTCAAAGATTAATTTGCTTTTAGGTTTATTCTCCGTTTTTTTGAGCTGCTCCAGCTCCGTCTGACTGAATGATTATTCAAGTAAGTCTGGACTAATCTTAAACTTAAAATCGTAGGGAAGTCATATAAAAATGTCAAATAATTCTGGCTTAAACACTCTTGATCAGACGATATTGTCCTAAAAGTTAGAACATTTCAATTAAAAAAAAATGGTTAGCAAGTTGCTTCCAGGAAACCGGCCACAATCAAAAGGCTTGCAGGAACATGCAGGGAGCAGTGAGCTGCTTTAATTCTAAAAACCGGCTGCAAGAAAACAAACGTGAAACTTACGGTGCTCAGATTCAGAAGAAGGAAACCGTTTACAGCAACTGCCTCCTTATTTAGTGAAACCTGGACAGACCTATTCCGACTCCCTCCTCATATCTAAATAACCATAGCGACTTTGTTGAACGTGAACCCTTTCCCGCCGATCAGAGAGGTTGAATTACATCCTGCACTGATGCTGCTGGATAAAGCATTATTGACAGAATACCTGTGATCAGCAGCAAGTGCTGCTAAAGCTAAAAACTGCTAACATTTCTATGCTATCATGAAAACCCATCAGGAACTGTGGCTCTGATGTAGGACGGAGGTACCCAGCAGGGGGTGAAGTTTTTTTTTTATTAAAATGGAAGATTGGAAAATAATGTTGACTTGATATGAAGAAGGAAATGCTCTTTTAAAAAAGGCTGTTATAATAAAACTTTTAAAAGGCTTGTTAAATCCTCCATCTTTCACTGAGGTGCTCCTGTTGGAGCTCCAAAATGCCGCCTCACCCTACCCCTGTTGTCCCGGTTCTCCTCCATGAAGCGCGCTACGTTCTGGGGTGATATTTGGCACCCAGTCCTCTGGTGTAAGTTCTAATAACGGATCACTACTGTAGCCTCATGCTTTTTAAAATCAAACACCACTTACTACTAAAAACATGGTGAGGGCCCTGCCACAACGTGACGACTTATCCAGCTTATGTCTTACGTCCCAGAATCTCCTAAAACTCATGAGCTGAACTTTCTATGTATTTTTTTTTTTTCAATTTTGGGTATATACATAGAGTATTGATAACGAGTCAGAACCTCTGTCCAATGACGGCCTAACTTCTACACGGCCGTTTTTATTCTGTACAGTTCATAGATTAATGCTACGTTTAGACCGCATGAAGCAGGAGCAGCAAAAAATGAGCATTCTGCTTCATTTTGGTTCTTGTACCAGTTTGAAGCATCTTTGCTGCTCTAGCTGCGCGGTGGGTCTGATGTGCGGTGGGCGGAGCTACCCTATCCTTTCTCTTCCTGGAACAATGGCAGCTATATTAGCTGTGATCAGCGGGTAAAAAGTAGTTAGAATCTATGTTGAAGTGAGAAAGTCCTCCTGAAGACATGGTCTGTGCAGTCAGTTCATCCAGATTACCATCCTGCCTTCAAAGATTATTTCTCTGTGGGAGCCGCTCAGACCCCCACATACCGGCGCTGCGCTGTCACTGGGAATCCCCAGCAGCAGCTGCCTCAGGCCCGGGAGCCTCTTGGGGGTTTTCCCCTCCTGTTGGTGGCGGCTGGAAGTAGATGTTAGCGTTTTTCAGGTCTGTGCTACAAACTGCAGGCAGCTGGATAATAAAAGCCAACATATTCTGCCGGCAGGTTTCTACATTTTCAGTTAATTTAGGCGTTAATAAACTGTTTCAGAGGAGTGATCATAGCGCTCTGCATCAGCAGTGCTGTGTCTGACTCCCTGCCAGCTCCCAGATCAGCTTCTCTCATTGGTTGATGCGGCGCGTCCAGCAGCTAAAGTTAAAATGGCTGCTGCTTGTGAAGTGCCTCAGAAGCTCATGAGGCTCTGCTCCTGCTGCTGCTATAGACACTGCACGGCCTTTAGCTACACCTTGATGCGTGTCAAACATTAAGTTTGATTGTAAACCAGCTGCTTCTGCTGCTAGCGCTCTGAATGTAGCATTAGCCTTAAAAACTAAAAATAAGACCAGAGCCCTTTCTGTCATGGCTTTATTCTCTAATGTTCTCTCAGATTTAAATAAACATTTTCTTCCCCCAAGTATGGCAGGTTTTTAATTTGTATCTGAATAAAATGCATACCAAACATTTCAAGCCTTTTGAATTTTATTTATTTGAGAACATTTTGTTTCCACTTTTATGAATTAATTAGTTTGATTGACATTTGGCAGGAAATATGTGTTTGTGTTCAAAGTTTGATAAAATAAAAATAATTTAAGAGTTAAGCAAAGCTTTGTAAGGCACATTGAATCGGCCTCGAATAAATTATTTTATTGGTGATTATCAAGTTTGTTGTGACCATTTATGATACATTTTTGTCATTTCTATCAAATTAGTTTTCTTCTTTTGGTAGGTAGAATATATTTAAGTTAATTTAGAACCAAAATTTGTAACTTATTATGTTTGGTATTGTTTAGATGAGGTTAATTGTTGGATCCTCCCTTTAGTTGGTGTAATTAAGAACACAGCAGGTGCCGTGCTGGATTGGTTGGTAAATGTCTGGTTTGGACGGGAGGTTTTGTAAAATTATTTTTTTTAGAGCTTCAAACATTTAATTTACATTTTTCGTTTTCACTAAGTTGCAAGACATTTTTAGGTGATTATTTTGTCTTTGCTTTTACAATAAAATAAGTCAAGTTGGGAGTGCGTACAAAGCCAAAAGCCACCTGTTACCATCCATAGCCTTTGTTGGAAATGTTGGTATTTTTGGAACAGAAGGCTGCGACAAAGTTTAAATTGATCCACCTTTAACTGTAAAACTCTTTTCTATCCTTTTTAAAGTGACTTTGACTGTTTTTAATGAGACCAGTTTAGAAATAATCTTGATGTAAAAAATAAACTGTTTTTGCATAATTGTGGCTTTCCTAATCACCTTCTTTGTTTCCTTTTCTCCCAGGGAGGATCATGTTGAAAGGAGACAACATAACGCTGCTGCAGAGCGTGTCCAACTAGACATGGAAAAGACGCCTGCAGCTCTGGACTTTCTGTTTTTCCTTTTCTTACGGTCTGGGTGTTTTGTTATTATGACATGAAGATGGATTTTTTTTTTTTTTTCGTCTGCCACATGGTTCCATTCTGCAAATAAAGTTTTGTTTTTCCTAAAATGTGTTGTGTGTTATTTAAAAAATATATGTGGGTGGTTGGGATACACAGAGGCTTGAATGCAGTCTCTTTTAGTTAAAATTCCTTACTTCATATATAGAACTGGAGAAATATTTAGTGGAGTTAAAATGTAGCAAAATTTTTTCACTTATAAGTAGACAATTTAAGATCTGTCCAGGGACAACAGATAAAAAAATAGCCTTTTGGTTAATTCTGCTGAATTTGCAGGAATGCTTATTAATGTCCCTGTCCAATATAAAATATAGAAACATATTTCCAACTAATTAAACATTTGATAAACTAATTGCACATCCTGGGTCTATTTGTAATTATTTTTCAGTGAGGTTTTTTTTTTTTTTTTTAGCCTGCCTGCTGTAATTTTAAACAAACCATTGAACTTTAGAAACAAAAACGTTCAAATTTCTACTTCGATAAACTTCTACATATTGCAGTTATTTGTTGGGCTGTTTTCATTAGTCTTTAATTGTCCTTCCGTTTATGGGGGAAATGAAGAAACGTAATGACGTAGAACCACAAGACGTAGGTGCCCTTGCTGAACTGCCTGGGAAGCCCCTAGTGTGGAGCTGCCAACGCCCGGTGTTGAAACTAAAATTGAGAATACGGTACGGAAATTTATTACTCAAACCTTGTGTTAGAGGCATGTTTTTAATGGTTCGTATTGTTTTATTATGTGTGAATATTATCTACAATGTCCCCTGCTTCCAACTGGACTGTATCTGTTTATGTAATTTAAAAACCAGCATCCGCTAGCTTTAGCTTAGCATGCTAGTCCTTAGCATGCTAGCCCTGTAGCTAACGGCAGGTTCGGTAAGTAAACACAGACTACCGCGATAATAGACCGGAACGGAAATGCAGCTTTTCTCTGTTTAATGAATGTTTAATTTAATTTAAACCTTAATTAAATGGGTTTATTTGTTTAAAATAAAGCAGTACATTTCTGATCAGTAGACTGGAGTTTAAGGTTTTAGTGGGTAGAATAGAAATGGTAATTTTATCTTGACATTAAAGTAAGGTACTAGGTTTAACGGTGTATAATTTTAACTACATAAATAATAGTTATAAACGAGGATAGTTAGAGACAGAATCTGTTTACCTGGCCATTTAAAGAGCAGACAGGAAACAGGCCAAAGAGGCCGGGATGTGGTTCAAACGCAACAGCTGAAACGGTGGCTTAATTTATCTTTGCTAAGAGCAGATGTCCAAAATGCAGAAATCATCAACACATATGTTGATGTTTTACGGGTGGTATGTTTTCGGAGAATGAGAAAGGAAGCGCAGAGAGGTGTAAACGTCTTATAGTAGTTTGGTTTTTTGGGTCATATTTGTATTTTTCTGGGGGTTTAAGTCGTGTCAGTTTGGCTTTATCTGCTTTATCGATTAACAAAAACCTGCTTTATAAGACTGATCCTTCCCACTGTTGAACAGGCCTGCCCTACTAACACAGATGCATGGATTAAGTCTGAAAAGGTTTCCAACTGCAGCCGCCCCTTTTCAGCTCCTCACATCCAACACAGTCTGGCTGTTTTTCCTTATAATCTGCTTATTAGAGGATTTTAACCTCATGATTCCGTAAGAGTATTCATTAACACTTGAAACTATATGAAGGTTTTGTTTTCTTGGGCTAAATTGTTCCTTTAAGGATGTGAGTCTGGTTCTTAGAGAGCAGATTACTGAGATAATGACAACGATTTGTTGTCAATAAAAATCTTTCTTTTCAAAATCCTGCTGGCTCTCATCGCTGCAGAGTAAACCTTTCATCATTAAAGCTCATTAAATTATTTTTAAATTAAGGCCTTAATTGGCATTACGATTCTGTGATTATTGGTGGCATTTAAAATGCTTTATTTAAAAAATAAAAAAACATCAGATATATTATATCAGATATAACTTGTTCCACGTGGTTGTGCAGAACTGCTTCTAGTTGATCTTAAAGCTGTGTTTATATATGTGTAGAGAATGAAAGAGAGTGTGTGGGTAGTTGTTGATGGCATTAAAATGATTTTTAAGAGCATTAAAAAGCAGTAAATCAGAGTTACTCATTCCTGTATAAACCCTGGAGGGGGCAGTTCATCTGAATTTGTAGGGGTAGACTTTAAAACTAGTGTGTAAGTGTTTCATATGTATATACTTAGAAATGTGATGTTTATTGGCCAGATTTAGTTTTATATCATTGTTTACCTGTACAGATTTTTGTTTTAATGGGATTTGTATTAGAAGATATAAAAAAATATTTCTAGTTTTCCAGATGTTATCCAACCCTCACTTTTCAGGGCTCTTCATGTGTCCCCACCTCCAGGATTTAACCTTTTCCAGCATTAGCTGTTTCTGTTTTATGCTTGGGTGTGATCCGACTAAACATAACGGTAAACGCCGGCTGTTTAACATAATTTCCTGCTATGGTGATGGGCAGCCAGCATCTCACCTCTCAGTTGGACCTACTCCGGACATTATAGGCCTTAATATTTGTGTAGTCATGCTTGAGTTTTAAAAACCCTCTTTACACTAAAGAACTCAAGTTTTAATATAAATTTGCTTGTTTAAGATTAAGTCAGTAAGATCATTTGACTTTTGATTAACTTGATATTTAAAAGCTAATCTCTCCAAAAAAGGTTTTTTTTCCAAGTTTGAAGACCTGAGGGTTTGTTTTTTCCATCTATTTGCGTATTTGATCACTTTTCTGCTTTGTTTCTGCTTTTCTCTGCAGGTCTTGAATGAGTACGGCAGACTTTAAAGCACAGCTATGCAGACCATCAAGTGTGTTGTAGTCGGGGACGGTGCCGTGGGTAAAACCTGCCTGCTCATCTCTTACACTACAAACAAGTTCCCCTCTGAATATGTCCCCACGGTACGTATGTGACCTCGATCACTGCATCACTTTAAAATCTCTTGGTACCAAACTGGAATGTTGTTGAATCGGAGGGGAACATTGGAACCAACGTTCATAGTTTATCCAGATTCACTGAAAGTGAATTAAATGAAATAAAAGCAACGTTGCAAAGTTTTCTCTCCTAGTTGACCAAATGTGTCTCAGTAGTTCTCAGTCATTGAATAGATGGAATCAAACTAGGACATCGTCTCTCCCGGTCATTAAAAAGCATTAAAAGTCATTAAATCAAAAAAAAATTTTATTTAATGCCTTGATTGGCATTAAGATAAATTAAATATGATTATGGGTAACATAAAAATTACCTTAATTTTTTCTTTTATAAAACCAGCTTTGACAGATATTTAATATCTGATATATTTGGTCCTGCAGCACCGAAACACGCAGAACGTCTTCTGGTTGGTTTTAACACCAGAACTCCCAACGCCGTCATTTTGACCGTTCTGAGATTTTAAAGGGAAAGAATTTTAAATTAATCATATATTGATCATGTTAACTAACTTTTCCTGTTTCTATATTTTTTTTTTTCATTTTCGCGTTTTTGTAATAAAATAAAAACATAAAAATTAAATATGCTTAATTTTACCTCGATCTCCCACAGCCGTCATTTTGACAGCTCTATTAGTTGCAGTGTAAATTATTCCCGCGGATGATTGACGTACTCTGCCGTTGCCTAGCGACCGACATTTTATTAGAACTCTTTGGCTAATTTGGAAAAATGGCTTTCATTAGAAAACAGTGAAACAGGCTTTAGAAATGCTGTAAAATATTGATGATAGAGATTCGGGCGGAGAGGGAGAGACCGAGGAGGAGGACTGGGTAGGAAGCGGCTCAGACTCTGACAGCGAGTCCGAGGATGATCGCCCACCCACGGGAAAATGTTCAAGGTTTGGATAGCTCTGCCCACACCTCAGCCGCGACACTCAGCCCAAAGCCAAACCAGAGCCCGGGGTCTCCTACAATCACTCACAGGTCGGCCTGGATGTGTGGGATCAGATGAGTAGAAAGTATTCTGTAAAAGCTCCTGTGGCTGATATTTTATGATCTCTTGGACATGGCAGACATAAACACTGTTTGAATGTCACCGTCTCAGACAGAGATTTTATCCTTGAACTGGTAAAACACAGAGCTGGTTATATTAGATATATAATATATATTAGACCTGTTTTAAGGTCAATGGGTTTATATAACACACTAGAACCATATCAGTTGATGACATCATCACTACTCATGGGGAAAAATATCCCCGTTAAAACTGATGGCCAGTGGGAGTTCTAGTAGGATCAGAGTTCTGGGAGTCCTGGTGTTAAAGCTGCTTTTTTTTGCTTTGGTTTGAAAGTTTGTGTGCCACTGAGCACAAGCTGGATGCTGTGTTTGGGTTCCTTGGTGAGGATTGGTGGAAAAACATGGACTGGAGTTTGTTTTTTGGCTCAAGCTGCCTGGAATGGACTGATCAGTACCAAGACGTGGACTGGATTTATTTATTTGTTTTATTTTTAACTGAACTAAATGCAAAGTACATTAATTATTTAATTTAAAGAATTGTGATTCTGACATTGTTTAATTGCTATTTCCTTCGTTGTATATTGAAGTCTTTTGAAAAAATTTGAAAAAATACATTGATGTTTAGGGTGATAAGTACTATTGTGTTTACATCCTTTGTGTGGTTTCTGTATTATAAAAGTCAAACATTACAATGTGACCGGTCTGACACCCCAGTCTTTGACAATAGGAAACCGAACCAGTCTGTGGGAAAAATAAAACTCTCAGTCAAATAGATGCAGGCGGCTTAATGTCTTCATGAGAATTTGTACTTGATGGCTACTATCATGCGAGTATGTTCAATATATCGCCCACCCCTACTTCCAACAACATTTGGATCCTATGCAGTGCTGCAATGCGTGCGGGTTGCAGTGGTGTCTGAACACTGCCGTGCAGCACGCCCTTCTAGTGACGGTGTATCCCAGTTGTTCCAGGCAATGTTTCCAGACACGCCGATTCTTTCCCCTGTGGAAAATAATTTGATCAAACTTATGGCTCAGAT